CTGGAGCTGGCCCAGCCCTCAGAGGTCCCAGGGGGACAGAGATGTTGCCGCCACGGCAGCTGCTGTCTCAGCCCGTGGCCGCCGCTGCCCACCGCCCCTGTACCTTATTACACAGCCAGTCCTCATTGATCTTGGGCTTGGGGTCGCTGTAGTGCATGGACACCTTCTGGCCCAGGATGTTGAGCGAGTGCTGCAGGAAGAAGCAGAGCCGAGTGAGGCGCAGGCAGCAGTGCCCCAGCACCGCTTCAGCACAGGAGAAGAGAGTGAGCGAGCCCTTCAGCTGGATGGATGAGGGACAGGGAACGGAGGGAGGTCGGAGAACTGACGAGGGAAGAAGGAAGGGAAGGAGGGAGGGAAAGCGCCACAGCCCTGGGGCGCAGCTGTTTGCTGCCTTTGCAGGGCACGCGCGCACGCACACGTGAACACAAGCCAACCGGGCACACAGGGCTCGGCTGAGCGACGCTTGCCTGACAGTGGGGAAACCCCCACTCGGCCCTGACGCTGCCAGGCCACACTCAGGGCCAGCACTACACAGGCTACACTGGGGATGAGGGGGGGCGGGAAGGGAGGGAGAGGAGGGGAGAGGAAGAGAGAGAGAGAGAGAGAGAGAGAGAGAGAGTACACGCGCACTAGTGCTGGAGAAGGGGAGAAAGAAAGAGCCATATTGAAAAGATGGAAGTTCCTGCTGGGAGGCTGTCTCCCCGTGGCTGGCTGGGGCCGGCACTAGCCTAGGGACCGGCATCAGCCTAGGGACCGGCATCAGCCTAGGGACCGGCATCAGCCTAGGGACCGGCAGAGATGGTCCCAGGGGCGGCCCTGCTGAGCCCTCTTCCGACACACCTGCCCCCCTGATGCTTCCTGCCAGTGTCAGTGCCGCACACCAGGGAGCCAGGCTCTGGGTGGGCAAGCAGATCCCTGGGTCTCTCAAGGTCCCAAAGCTGCTGGGGGAGCAGCCCGTGCCACCCTGGGAGAGGCAGCAGGGCTCCTTGCTGAGAGGGCAGGCCCGCCCCCAGCAGAGGGCAGGAGGGGACTCCTGTGCGGGTAGGTGCAGTGGGAGGACTGGGGCCGCAAGTGAGTCCTGGGGAATAAAACTAACACGCTTGACTGGTACTTTACATCAACAGAGCAATGCTGGCCTCTTGTGTAGGAATCAAAGGGCTGAACTCACATGTGGGGAGAGCTGGTAAGATGGGACTTGCTAATGACTGTGCTGACAGCTACATTCCCCCGTGGCTGGATCCAGCCATGCCTGAGAGCGGAACGAAGTACTGGCTCTGCCTAACCCCGGAGCAGGACAGTCCCCCGGGCGTGGGAACCTTGGTGGAAGACCCTTCCTTCTAGTCTTTTCTCTGAAAGCTCTGCCCAGAGAGGTGGAGGGGCAGAGCTGGTGCCTGGCAGGGGAGGGGCAGGTGGTGACTGTGGGCTCTTGATGGGCTGCCCAGTGGGTAGCGAGAGATGGAAAGAGGAGATATTGAGGGTCAGGAAGGGGGAGAGAGAGGGGATGGGGGAATGGGACACAGGGCCACAGGGCAGGGAACTGTGTCCATAAGAATCAGGCGATGGGGAGCGCTCGATTACAAAGTAGTATTTGTTTGGGGGGGGGGTTCAAGTGCGGCAAAGCAACCTGATTGGCTTCCATCCATCGTGTAGCGTCCTGCAAGTGACTAAACTCGACGAAGGCGAAGCCCCGGCTCTGACCTGGAGACAGCATTCAGATACAGACGCAGTGGGTTAGTCAACAGCTTTGGACACACGGCGTTCCCGGGGGCGGGACCCGAGGGGAGAGGATGGGGGCAGAGAGGGAAGGGGGAGAGGAGAAAGGAAGAAAGGAAGAGAAAGAAACAATCAGAGAGAAAGACCATGGGGTGGGAGGCCAGGTAGATGACTGGGAGGAGCAGGAGAGAGGAGAGGAGGAGGGAGGAAAACAGCCAGAGAGAGGAGGGTGGGTGGGAAAAGATATACACACGCCAGCTGGGAAGAAAGACAGAAGTGGGGCTCAGGCCAGCCCGGGGTGACAGAGACGGAGAGAAGGAGCTGGGAGGGAAAGGGGACGAGTAGAGATCTGTCTCCAGAGAAGGAAGGAGGGCAGGTGGGCAGGCTGCTGGCTCCACATGGGCCAGAATCAATGACAGAAGGGCAGGGCCCAGCACAAGGCCAGGGGAGCCCAGGAGGGGCCCTGTAATAGGTGTTGAATCAAAGGAGCCAAAGGAAAGCTGGGTCGAGCTGCCCGGTGAGGCTAGGAAGGATCCAGGCCCATCAGGAACCTGGACGGTTAGGGAGGTAATGTCACCTCAGCCTTACCACAGTGCATGGGAGGTGGGCCCGGTGGGAAGAGTATAGCCGCCCACCGCCCAGGTCCTCCTAGACAGCAGGAGAACGGGGGCCGGGATCGGCCAGGCAGGCCGTGAAGAATCAGTGGGTGTCTGGGAGACGTGCCCAGGGCCAGAGGAGGCTGCACCTGGGGCACTACGTGGGCAGAGACCAGAATCTTAATAGCACGTAGCTGGGCCAGGGTGAAGTAGAGCAAGACCTGCAGGCTATCAAGGGAGACTCCAAGCCTGGCCAGGGCTAGGAAAGGAACCCGGGCCTGAGGCTGCAGGAAGCAGCTCTACCTTCAGAGGCGTACACAGGGAGGGCGGAGATGTGGCGGGGCTTGGGGGGTACATGCTTTATCTCCAAAAGAAGAACTGTTAGGATGCACAGGAGGATGGAATGGTATGATGAGAGATAGATAGATAGATACAGAGAGAGAGAGAGAGAGAGAGAGAGAGAGAGAGAGAGAGAGAGACATAGAGAGATAGATAGATAGATAGATAGATGATAGATAGAGATATGAAGGCATGGGGAGGAGAGAGACTGAGATGGAGAGAGAAGCCCAGGCAGAGTGAGGCCCCACTGTGCCTGCCTTGGGGAGCCTGGGCCAGAGATCCTGTAGAGACAGCTCCCCCCAAAACCCCCTACTACCCTCAGGCCAGCTCCAAGCAGCCTGCAAGAGGGAGGGAGGGGACAGGTGGGCCAGAAATTCTGGCTGCTCCTTGGGATGAGCCCTGGGGTGAGAGCCATCCCCTGCCTCCCCTCTTGGGATACATGGGTGGGGCCATGCCGGACCTACTTTCTGGTCAGAGGCCGTTACAGAAAAATG